TCAATTTAATTTTGGACAGTGGTTCCACACAAGCAAATTATTTTTTATTAACATTAATGGAATTTGTTGAATCTATGTAAGCTCCTTGTGTTGTGACAACACAACTGAATCAGATAGAATCTATGTGAAATAGTAATGTCCATACAAATCAATGGAATTGCTTCCCTGTAACTGATACAGACTTAACTGAACTGATAGACTTTCATCGAACCTTCGTACAAGGTTAAAAACTAGTTAAAATGTGGCCATTGTGGACATATTTTCAACATCATTTATGGTCTCATTTAGACAGAATTACTTTGACTAATGCTGTCAGATGATCTTAGTAAGAATTAACAGAAGTTTAGATGTTGATGTTTCATTTGAAGTGTCACCATTGTGGTGATCAGTGTTTGCTTTAGTTGGGCTCTTGGTCCCCTTAATTTTTACTTGAGCTTTTCTGTGGCTGCTGTATCTCTGTGTTTGTATAACACAGTCGATGTTGCAAAGAAAGTCAAAAATAAGTAAGATCAGGTGTTTTCAGGTTGATGTTGATGATGAAAGCTTCACAAAACATTCATCTAATATTGTCAGACACTTTCGCATTTCTAGCCGCCACCATGTGGATCTGCAATACTGGCACCAATAGCATTTTTATGATCACTTATTTAGAGGTGGATAAAAATTATGTGCATACGATGTTCAGAGCAAACATATCATCTTGTCACACACAGACATCAAGATTTTACATATGATTCACAACAATGGTGACAATAAAAAAATGGTCATGCTGCAATGCATGGTGGGTAGCTTTCATAGTTCAAAACATCATTGATTCCCAAGCTTTTTTGTTTTGATTATCACCGTTGTTGTGAATCATATCCAAAATCATGATGTGTGTGTGTGACTACATAATACATTTGCTCAAAACATCATGTGCACATGCTTTTTATATTTTAAAAATATTTCTTATTCTATTGGCACCAATATTGCACTTCAACAAGGTAGGTAATGCCAAACATGAATACAATTTTAAACTCAACATTTGAAACTTGATTTGTGATGATTATGTCATCCTCAACATTGAGCTGATAACAGCTGATCTAACTTTTTCTTGGCTTTCTCTGCCACAACAATTGTGTTATACAAACAGCAGCCAATGAAGTTACAGCAGCCAATGAAAATTTTATGTAAAATCTACAGGGACCAAGAGCCCAACTAAAGCAAACACTGATCACCACAATGGTGACACTTCAAATGAAACAAATATCTAAATATCTAATAATCTAAATATCTAAACTTCTGCTAATTCTCACTAAGATCATCTGACAGCAATAGTCAAAGTAATTCTGTCTAAATGAGACCATAAATGATGTTGAAAATATGTCCACAATGGCCACATTTTAACTAGATTTTAACCTTGTACGAAGGTTCGATGAAAGTCTATCAGTTCAGTTAAGTCTGTATCAGTTACAGGGAAGCAATTAGATTGATTTGTTTGGACATTACTATTTCACATAGATTCTGTCTGATTCAGTTGTGTTGTCACAACACAAGGAGCTTACTTAGATTCAACAAATGCCATTAATGTTAATAAAAAATAATGTGCTTGTGTGGAACCACTGTCCATAATTAAATTGAGTAAGTTTAAAGAGTCATTTTTTTGAGTGACAGTTTAAGTTAATTAAATGCAATACAATAGTGTTTTGGTGGTAAAAGAAATATATGTGTGTTACTTTAACAAAACATACTTTTGAGTGTGTAATGATATGGCCTGATAGCACCTAATAGGGCCATTAGGGGAGTGTCTTTGTCTTTCTCAGGTGTGGAATGCCACACATATTAATGAGAGATCACGCCTCCTTGCATAAAGCTTTCTCAAACAAAACACGTCATTAAAAATGTAAAAGACTTTATTGACTTATCTAAATGAGTAGTCAGGATGATTCTCACATAGTTTTGGAGCAAATATTCTATGCTATGTGATACAATTTTCAAAAGTCTTGTGAAGAAATAATCAATATGTGTTTTGTGGTCTTATTTCAGCAACTTTCATTTTTATTTTTTTCAATAACCACGCATAAACATTATTCTATTAAAAATACAAACATGTACATACATGTTGCTCGGATATCATGGTAGCCCCGTTTGTGCTTTAAAAAGTGAATTTACACCCTTGCCATTAACATGTTTATAAATAACTGAAAAAAGCACAAATGTCAGTGCATGTCAAAACATCCCAAGGGCCCCAAAAACACTCTGGTCCCCAGAGGGTTAACAAGCAGAATCAACAAAGGAGAAAAATCACATTTTAGTCACCATTATGGTGATTGGTATTTGCTTGAGTTGGACTCTTGATCCTTAAGCTATTTACATTAGATTCAGTTTGGCTGCTAGATTTGAGTTATTATTGCCAGATGAACAAAGAGAAATGTTCATTAGGTAGTGTTGGTTATGTTTTAACATAATCATCATATGAACTCATTTAGAATCTAATCTCTGACCTAAATGTATATTGGTCATTATAGCATCAAAGAGATTCTACAGCATTAGATCCATATTATTCAATACAATACAAATATTTCTTAAAAGTTGTTTCAATAAAAAAATAACATCTTTGTTTAAGGCACACACATACATCAAGATTCAGTGTATGAATCTCAACAATGGTGACAAAAGAATATGCAATTAGGAAAAGGAAATTACTAAGACAATTAAGATCATAATTTATTCATACTGCAATGCATGATGGGAGCAAGGCAATGAGTTGGCGAAGGCAAAACTCAAAATGAGTTTTGTTTGGTGGCACCCAGAATGCACTGCAACATGCTTCATTATTGTCACCATTGTTGAGAATCACAGGCTGATTCTTAATGTCTTTGTGTCCAAATAAAATATTTTTTCAAAGTCTTTTGATCAGAACAACTTTTAAGAAATCTTTTGGATTAAATGGAAAATTCTGAAAATGGTATACTGTTGAATCACAGACTGCTGTAATTATCAAGGTAAACCTGGCTCTCTAAATGGGTTCTATGATTAAGGTCAAATGATGATTATGTCAAAACATAACCAACACCACCTGATCAGCTTTTCCTGTTGTTTATCTGGCAGTTATAACTCAATTACAGCAGCCAAACTAAATCTAACGTTAATAGTTTAAGGATCAAGAGCCCAACTAAAGCAAATGCCGATCACCATAATGGTGACTAAAATTAGATTTTTCTCCTTTGTTGATTTTGCTTGTTAACATCAGGTGTCTTCAATAATGGTCAATCATTACTCAATCAATCACTTAATTAGCTCATTAACTTTAACACTCTTGAGTCTGGGGCCAAATGAACTCTTAGGAAAGTTAATTTAAAACTGGAGTTTTTGCTGTGTGAGTTCATGGGTGGAATAAAAATATGGCAGGACTTTTACTTTCTGACCCCTGGACTTTCCACCTCTGGTAATAAGTGAAGCTGGTAATGCTGTTTGTGGAGTAATCCTCCTCTGCTGAGATCTTCAGAGATGTAATGTCTTCTTTTCTCTTCAGTTGATTTCATCTAAGGTGGCTTTCACACTGGCAGTTTAGTTCGGAACGGGGCATGGTTCGCATGAAAAATCGCTAGTGTGAACGCTGTCATGTGGACCCGGGTGCGCACTGGATACCGAACCCGAGACTACCTCGAGGAGAGGTAGTCTCCTTACACACACACAGAGACACACACACACACACACACACACACACACACACACACACACACACACACACACACACACACACACACACACACACACACACACACACACACACACACACACACACACACACACAGAGACACACAGACAGACAGACAGACAGAGAGACATACACACACACACACACACACACACACAGAGACACACACACACACACACATACACACAGACACAGATTCTGGCTCTGTTCGGTCCTGGTCGCTTCCTAAAGCCCGTGTAATGCTCTGAGTCTGTTCCCTTATTAACTCAGGTGGGCAAGTGGAGGTGAGGCGCGCGTTTGTCCCTCAAGACAGGGATGGTGGCCAAGAAACAGAAACTGGACTCCGAGGTGAGAACACACTATAGTTTATAAAGTCATTTAATATATAAAGTGTTATTTAATTTTAAAGTTGCCTTTAGTTAAGCCTTTAGCTTAGCCTATTTTACACTTGTATTTGACAAAATGTTTTGGCCAGAATTACTGTGAAAATGCTAAATTAGTTTTGCAAGATATTTAGACTTTTGTAATCATTCCTCTGCTACAACCAGTCTGCATATTTTAGAATTTATTTTTCTGCTTGTACACTCATTTTATAATATCACTTGATTTGTCAGTATTTAACTAAAGCACTTGACTTTCACACCCTAAGAGCAAATAACACGTGATAAACAGCTGATGCTTTCACCCTGATACACAGTTGAGATGTAACCAGACCACTTGTCCAAAATAGAAACAGATGAACCATAAGGTCTTGACATAAGACACACACATGAGTGCAATGCAGTTTTTTATTCAAAGTTATATTGGATTTGACAGTGATGTACATAAATGTATATAGAATAAAGGTTTTAGTTCAGACTTCCACCATGTAATGATTTTTAACTCTCAAAAGATTAATTTGCAATGTGCAATGAATTAAGCATGATCTCATTAATGCTTTAATTTTACTAACATGAATTATTAGTTATGCAGGGAGGAGATCCAGTCATATGATTAAGTCAAATTGTATTTCTTAACAGCAGAAAATCAAATAGTAAATGAAAAGTACAATTAATTAATCCATCATCAGGATCAAAAGTTTAATAAAGAATAAAATTAATAATTAAAATCACTTCTAATCTTTCGAAGTAAAATATAATTAGCACACTATGAGTATAATATTCTTGCCTAAAGATAAGTAAAGTTGTTTGAGAGATCTCTCTTTGAAAAGACAGGTTGTGAAAGAGCGAGGTCTGAGTCCAAGGTAAGACTGACCCAGAAAATATTCCTCCTCTTATGCATGCAGTTTCTGATCAGCACATCAGTTCCTCTTTCCCATCTCATTCCAGCAGACTCCAAAGACAAAGACATATCTTTCTTTCGTGGAGAGGGCCGTACACACATTGTCTTGTACCCCAAATGTGTCTGAATTGTTAATCTTAATACAATACAATACACAATACAGAACTGCTGCACAAATCCCTTCTGCAAGATGTTCAGCTTATAGCCTATAACATTAATCTATCACTTTATTCTGAGATATTCAAGCATTTGTGGTCTTTCTATCGGGAACTTATAGACTTGTGCCCAATCAGCTACATTTGAGACATTAAGATTAATAAAAGTAAAGTATTAAACATAAATTTCAAATGATAATGGTAAATGCATTAAAATTATAGTAATGATTAACACATCAACATGATAATGATTTCTTAAAATATGATTACATTTAATGTTATTTAACATCCAAATGATTAAATGATAAAACATAAGTAAATAATAAAACATTATATATTTTTCTTTTCCTGTTTCATCAAGCTTGAAGAGAAAAAAAAAGTAGGTGTTAAGTTGATAAACTGATTAGTGTTCCAGGACAGCAAGTCTAACTGTATAAACTATTGCTCATCTCAGCTCTTCTCAAACTTAAAAATAACTTTTTTAAAGCTCTCTTTTATAAAAAGTTGAAAAACTTTTTAAAGCTTTTTAAAGCTCTATTTTTTCCCCTTTTTAAAGGGAAAAAATGGTTCTCCAACACTTCCTGATTCTCCCTAACCCTCGTTATCCCTATGCGCAAGGACTCATGGATCTTCTTCCAGTCCTCCAGCTCAGATCTCCACAGAGCTGCTTGTGAGCGGATGAGCTGAGAGGCCTCACTCTTGCTCCCGTTGGCCAGACTCATGCTTTCTTTGCAAATAAGTAAGACATCTAAGCCAATAGAGCGGGCCTTTGCGGTGATGGCTCTAGCTCTAGCTCTAGCTTTATCAGACTCTGAAAGAGCTAGTGGTGTCCCTTTTTCCAGCTTCCCATTGTCGGGAAGGTCTGCAGCCTGTTTGGGAATGCTACCAGAACTTTGTGTCCCCTGGTTCCCAGCCTTGGATGCAGCCGCAATCACCTCCTCCGTTTTGAGTACTTTAACAGCTGAAGCTCTGTCTACCAGATCTGCAATACCATTGACCAATGCTCCAATTTCCAGTTTTTCATCTGTAATATCATCAAACCCAGCAGCGCCCTCTACATACTCCTGTCTACTGGCCTGACCCAGACAGATTAGAATCTTATCCAGATCCTCCATATATTGATTGAAAATCTCCTTGATATTTGTACAATGCCTTAGGTTGATTTCTAATTCAGTGTAGCCTGTGACCAAACTATTGGCCTCACTGGTAACCCCCAGACTGACCCCTGTGAGATCCAGTGATGCTCCTGCAGTGCCGGGGCCCAGAGCAAGACCAGCAATGGACAAAACACTCCCTACTATCCTAACCGAACTGCCAGTCACAGAGGAGATACTGGCCCCCTTCTTCATCCTGTCCAGCTGAACTGCATTCTCTTCCAGATCTGACAGATGCTTCTCCATTCTAGAGTGACACTGACTGAATAAATCAATGAAGCACTGAGCGTTTTCCTGAAAAATTAAAGACCGCTTTGTGTGCTGGTCCATCCTAGACAATAATAGAAAATATGTGATTTACAGCCATCTTTCATGATGAATGAGTGTGAAGAAAACATCAGATCATAAATATAGGTCTCACCTGATTTCGCACAACTCCTTTAAATGATCAAGCATTTCTAGAATGGAGTCCTCGCTTAAGTTCAAGCTGAACTTCACTACAGGCTGAGCTTTCTTGCATCTGTAGAGAGTTTCAGAAGGACTAACAAACACTTGCCTTTATTTTTAGACAGGTATTTTAGAGATTATCATAAAAGCAAATAAACTTTTAATTTAGATTGACTGATAGTTTGGCCTTTATGTCATGATGAATAATGAAGATGTTAAATTAACCCCAATCTTATCCTATATTTATAATACTTACCTATGAGTATCTTCAGACCCCAAATCACTCTTGGAACTGTGAAGGGGAAAAATACATTTAGAAAAAAAAAAAAAGTTAATTATTGATCAAATTATTGAACTAAGCCTTTGATTTAATTTATTTAGTAAATGCTAAATAAATTAGAGATTATTTTGATAATCTCTGTGTTTTAACGTATATATAATCGAAATACTATCCTTTAAAAATGAACATTGCATGAATGTCAGTACTTACTTTTTCTCCATTCTCTCACAAATCTGTTCTGTGATTCGTATGTATTTGTCTAGTTGAAAGGACAGGACGTCCAAGTTACTGAGTGAAGGGATGAAGAAGGTTTCTGGATTTCGTTTAAAGTTGATGAGGAGAGGAGAGGTCATTCTTGCAGCTGTGATGACTGATCGCACACTTTCAGGACTCTCGTCCTCAGGCCAGAAGCTCTCTCCAGTGAAGACATACAGTGAGGTGACTGCGAGATTCTCCACTGCATCCAGGAAGACGTCAAGTTTCTCCAGCCCCTGAAGTGTGTTCTCCAGGACAGCCCCCAGTTCCTTCTCCAGCTCCTTATATATGGACTCAGATTTTACACTATTCTTCAGGCACTCCCACAATCCCTTGGCTTTATTATCTGACTGCTTTAGATAGTCAAACTTATGACTGACTTTGTCTGCTCGGTCCTTGATGTCTCTCATCATCTTCAACTCTTCCTCTCTCTTAAGGGTCCACTCTTGTTGTTTGTCACAGAAGTCCCACACTGTCTGAATGTAGTTGAGTGTGTCCACTACATACTCCCACAGTAGCTCCTGTAATTGTTTCCTGCATTATTGAATCAAAACAGAGCAATTTACGTTGTAAAAATTATATTTCCTATCAATGCTTGTATCAAAATGACAATACCACGTGATTGATGACGTTTGAAGCTTCGAACATCATGCACACTGTTAAACCTTACCAGTTTTTTTTACAGTAAAATACTGGCAACACTGTTGCCAGCAATTTACTGTTAATTGTACAGTTCTTTACTGTAATCTACATATATACTGTATGTTAGGGCTGCACGATTAATCGCACGATATTGTTATGCGCATCTCATCAGTAAAGCCGGTTCCTTGATTAGTAGTAAATTGCCTTCACCTGCTTTCAGATGCAGCAGTATTTACTAGAGAGCCGTAGTTCACTGACAAGCTGAGCCAAATCGCGTTAAAATCGAGGACATATCGTCAACGATATTTAATGCGATATGGCTCAGCTTGTCAGTTAACTACGGCTCTTTGTACACAGCAAAAACTCAGTGTTAAATGAACACACCTGGGAGTGTATATGAGTCCACACTCAAGAGTGTTAAAGTAAATGAGATATTTAAGTGATTAATTGAGTGATGTTTGAGCATTATTGAAGACACCTAAAGCAGAATCACTGAAGGAGAAAACCGGAATTTCAGGTCACCATTATGGAGATGAGTGTTTGCTTTAGTTGGGCTCTTGACCCTTTTATTATTAACTTTAGATTTTGTTCGGCTGTTGTATTCGAGTTATACCTGCCAGATGAACAAAGCAAAAAAATGATGAGAATATTCAATTAGGAAAAGTAAATTACATAGACAATACAGATCATAGTTTATTCATACCGCGATGCATGATGGGAGCCATTAATGAGTTGTGATTGGTGGCAACAAGGATTATTATTGTCACCACGGTTGAGATTCACAGGCTGATTATTGATGTCTGTGTTTCTAAATAAATGCATTTGAAAGTGATTTGATCAGAAAAATTTTTATTAAATGTTTTGGATTATAAGAAAAATACAATTATCATATGCTGTAGAACCACTAAACTGAGTTTCATTTTTCAGATCACAGCATGATTATGTCAAGACATAACCAACACTATCAGATCACACTTGACTTTGTTCATTTGACTGTAATAAATCAATAACAGCAGACAAACAAAATTTAAACTTAAAGTATAAGGATCAAGAGCCCAACTAAAGCAAACACTGATCGCCATAACGGTGGCTTACAATTTGTGATTTTCTCCTTCAGTGATTCTGCTTGTCAACATCAGGTGTCTTCAATAATGCTCAATCATCACTAAATTAATCACTTAATTATCTCATTAACTTTAACACTCTTGCATGTTAATTTAACACTCATATCTGCATCATATCGTCCATCTGAAAGCAGGTGAAGGTGATTTACTACTAATCAAGGAACCGGCTTTACTGATGAGATGCGCATAACAATCTCATGCGATTAATCGTGCAGCCCTACTGTATGTTACTGTAAAAATGCACTAAAACTCGAGTTAACTAATTTCACTTGCAGAAACCGACTGCCTTAAAATGACCAAATGTCATATAAATGTATTAACTAAAATTTATAATGCATTAATAACTTGAACAAAGTATTAAAATCTAACATTGTTCTTACTAATATTTTTTTAGTTAACTTTACTTAATGTCCTGTAATTTGTTGAATACTTACAATTTCTTAGTAATCTGTACTGTTTGCATGCTATGCCTTCGTTACTCAGAAAAACCAAGTAAACTTTACTTGACTGGTTTGAGTACCATTTTGCCGAGGCAAAAAAATAAAAATAAAAACTGGCGGGGCAAATGGTTTATAAGGCGGGGCAATTCTTAATAGACTTTTCACTAATTTCTTACTTCTGCAGTCATCATTCTTCTTATTTGCATTCGCTCATTTTCCAGTCATCCTCAATATTATTGTCAATACACCTACAAATTTTGGGAGAACATCAAAATTCTTTAGTTGACTTCATAAATTCATGTTGATTTCCCTTTTCTCACCATTATTGTGATTAATGTTCCCTTTGGTTGGGCACTTGGAACTTAATTTACATTATTGTGATTCTCTTCCAATTGATGCAGTGATGCAACATGAAATCACAGTTATTTGATTTCAAAGGAAGTGAAGTAATAAATGAGAAGCTCTTTTCCAAAATGTGATGAACGCCATTTTAAAAAAAATGAGTTTGTCATGTTATTTTGCTGTGTACTGAACCTTTTCACTGTTCCATCAACGTCTCATGCCAAATCGCTATATTTCCTTGTTTAAAATGTACTGCAAGATGCAGTTTCTTTCCAAACCGCGATAAACGCCAAACCTATTTTTAGCCTAAACGCGATAAATCCACTTGACTAATCAGAATTCGGTGAGCGTTCTATCTAATCCAACATCGGCGCCCCAGAGGTTTGTTTATGTTCATTCATTCCTCAAAATGAGTGCTTTAAACAGTGCTAACACTTTTGATGGCCTTAATGAGCCATTGAGACCTACACCCAGGGGTAGAAAACGCCGACTGGACAAAGAAAATCACAGACAAAAAAAGAAGGTTCATCACTCGGGTGGCGCGTTAAGTGGAATGTCAACACTTGCTGCCAAAGGTTTCTGTCAGGCCGAGAGACTGTCGCCGGACGATCTGATGATAAATATAAACTATTTTACAAGTTCTGTCAAAAATGGCAATCGGCAATCAAGGAGGAAAAGTCGAATATCGTTTCGAAATTTTAATTTTAATTTTATGTGTATTAATAAACTGTTTTCTGTGTCAGTGTCTGCAAAGATTAAATTGACGATCAGCATCTCTGTAGTGATCGTGCCTAGACAGAAATGCATGTAGGCCTAATGGATTACATCAGAGAGTATTCCTATTTCTTTTCGTTTTTAATTGTTTTGTTTAAAGACATTTCAAGCTTTCTATATAGATATTTTTCTCATGTCTGTGAGGCATACGCTGAGTTTCAGTTAATTTATAATGAAATGCGCTCCAGTTCACGTGCAATGCAAGTCACTGCGCCCGCGCCTCCATGTCATGATTATATTGTCTATTTGCTTCTTATTTATTAAATCCAGGCAATTGGTTGATGAAAAAATTATTAAAATTAAGATACAATTTATACAAAACGAAATTCACTTTAAAGAAAGGCTTTCTACAAAACAAAACTTAATTAAGTGACCAAAATCATGTCTGACCATGTCTCCGGATATCTTACTCATGCTCTTCTCTTTTCATAATCAACATAGATAGATGTTCTCTTGTTGTTGTTTTTTTTTTTTTTTAAAAGACAAACCATCCATGTTTGTAAAAAAATTTTATGGATTTATTGCGTTTTGGAAAAAAAAATTAATTAACTTTGAATTTATCATCAACAATATCGTTGTTTAATTTAATAATCATTGTTCAACATGTTCAGACTGAGCAAAAAAAAAACATTTTAACAGGATAAATTAAATATTCACAAAATGTGTGGGTGTAGGTAAAAAATGTAATTTTCCTGAAAACTATTGAAATGGATTTATCGCGTTTTGGAAAAGAGCTCCTCAAATATTATTTATATTTATACTTCAATTATTTCCATGTTTTGAATTAATGTATTAATTATATATAACATAACTATATTTCATATATAATAATTATGTTTTATCATTTTATTGCTAACACTTATGGCATAAACCTTTAATTGGGTTGATATAATCCCTCTATATTTGTGATAATATCTTGCCATTTTGCTTGAGTCACACACAGACTTCAACATTCAGCATGCAAACCACAACAATGGTAACAATTAATTTAATTAATTAGACCATTACAATTTTATTTGCTGTCTCTTGTCAGTATAACCCCAATAACGATAGCAAATACAATTGTGATGGTAAAACAAAGCCAAAAATAGTAAAACGAAGCAATTAATGTATTAATGCCGCAATGCACTCTGGGAGTACACTTCCTTATGTCACAGATATAATTAAGTTGACAACTTTAATGAATTAAGTAAGAATAACTTGCTGCAATTAAGTTATGCTTACTTAATTAAATTAAGGCAACAAGTTTGCATAATTAAATTAAGTAAACTGAACTAATTGTTTTTTTACAGTGTGTGAACTTATTTCATTTGAAACAAAAAAAATTTTTTTGTAAATAAAGAGATTTCCACTGGACCAGAAACTACACAATCAGCGCCTTTTAAATAAAGCAACATGCAGCATATCATAAATGTTTCTAGATCTTCTGCTGGACTGAAGCACAGGCTCTACTCTTCAGCACAATGGTGGGGTTGGTTGACACACTGATGTGGGGGTTGGTTGACACTATTATATAGTATACTGATGATAAAATCTATATATATTTATAATTATATAAAACATATATATATATACACTCTTAAAAGAAATGGTTCTATTTAGAACCAAAAATGGTTCTATCACCCGCTTCATATATGGAACTCCAAAATGGTTCTATATAGAACCATTTTAATGGGTTCCATAAAAAGAACCCCAAATGGTTCTTTGAATCCAATCATCCAAATCCATCTTTTATGGTCTCATTTAGATATAATTTATACTGTTTCTGGACCAAATAAACACTCTCATGATGCATTAAATTAAAACTCATGTTTATTTGCAAAGCAACTCACAGTCAGTTTGTGTTTGTCCAAAAATCATGAACATAAAAGACATAAAAGATCTGTAAATCACACATCTTTGGATCATGAGAGAAACCAGATCTGAAGGAAAGTCTTTCTGGCTCGGACACTTGTGCTGTCCTTAATCACAGACATAAAATACAGATACTTTGACTATTATTGTCAGATGTCTACAGAAGATCTTAGTGAGAATTAACAGAGGTTTAGATGTTAATATTTGTTTCATTTGAAGTAACCATTGTGGTGATCAGTGCTTGCTTTAGTTGGGCTCTTGGTCCCCAGATTCCTTGCGTATCCTAGCATTTATTTGGTTGCCCTGATTGTGTGATTAACACAATAGTTGTGGCAGAGATAACCAAGATAAACTGGGA